ACACACTGGGGCTGCCAGGGCTCGAGGACAGTGGTTTGGGGGAGGGCTGTGCAGGGGAGGTCCTGTCAGTCTCCTGTCTTCATTGCCCTCAGCTTTCTTTACCAGTTGGGTCGGCATGACCAGTTTGGGGCTGATGGAGTGATGGTGGCCGTGAGCTGGGCCAGTTCTGGCAGGAGGAGCAGGCACAGGAGACTGAGAGGGGAATCACACTGTCAGCTGCAGTGCTGCTGCTGGAGCTGAGGCTGGAGCCTCCAGGACTCCTCAGAGCATGTGCATCCTCCCCAGCACCCCAGGAAGGCTCCTGCTGTAGATGCTCCCCTGCTCCTGCAGTGACATGGCAGCAGGTGGTTGGATGGCCACAGAGACCCCACGGTTGTTCAAGCCATGGTGGGGCTTTGGCCTCACCGTGGCAGACTGATGAGCTGTGCCTGCAGCCCAGTGACTCCTTGGTTCTATCCCAGTCTCTGCATGCTGCCCCTGAGATGGGTTCTGGCTGGCAGCAGCCGAGCGGCCACACGTGCTGTCTGCTGGAGCAGCAGCCTGACTTGGGTTTTGCCCTCTGAGATGATCTGTGGTGCTGAGAGCCTCTTTTGGTGCACACCCTCTCACCTCTGGTGGTTTGAGGTCTGTGGCCGCAGCGGAGGTGAGTGTGGCTGCTGCTGCCGAGTTGCAGTGGTTTGGACCAACCCATCTATTCTCTGCCTTCCCCCAGCCATCAGCCCTGTTCCTTCCCCTGTGTGAGGCTGCCAAGAGTGAAATTTAGGAGCTGGCAGGAAAGAAGGGGTTGGAGTTGAGAGTAGAGAGGGGGAAGAATGAGTTTTACAGAGCGATGACTCCCTGCAGGGTCACGGTCCAGGTGGCTGCTGGGAGTGGACAGAGAGGTGTTGGGACAGTGTGTCACTGGGGTCATATCTGATGTGCTGTGATGGTCCTGATTGCTTAGTGTGGGCAATTTGTAAGAAGAATTTGGCCAGATTCACTTTGTCAGAGGTCCTCAGCCTGAGTACCTCGACTAACCACAAGTGCACATTGATTTGCTTCCTGTTGCCTAAAACACATGATGGGAAGCCTAAGGAGCCGGAGACCACTTACGTCTCAAGTGCCTTAACAGTGGAGTCCTCTTCTGTGGATGACATTTTCCTCCAGACATCCCAAAAAGCCCGTGTTTGACAGGTCTGGTTGTGCCACTGCAGCAGATAAACGCGGGATTGTGTGTACAAACTGCTGGGGCACTGGGGGCTCTGGGGGGAAAGGGCTTTGCTGGGGTGTGTGACTGGTCTGGGCTCTGCTCGACACACAGCAGAGCTTGTCCTCCCTGTGTGCCTAATGCAGCTGGGCTGGCTCAGCATCTCTGGCTCTCTCCACTCTCCTAATGCAGTATTTCCTCATGGTTTTTAGCCTCTCCCTGCTGTTCAGTGTTTGAGACTGTGTCCTGCTATTCTCTTCAGACAGTATCCGAATTATTCTGAATATTCTCTCTGCAGTCAGAGATTTCCCTGAGTCATACCTAAATGTTAATAAAAGCCTAATGGTTTATGTTAAGGAAGGCAAGAGATAAAACTAGAGCCCTTTTATCACAGTCTTTAATGGCCTGAAAATGTCAGTTGTGTGGGAGCAGCTGCCAAATTTTGAGCCTATGAAGACGATGGCTAAGTCCCACAAATCAACAAGTTTGGAGCGGATTATCGGATGCTGGCTGTGTCATTTTCCCAGGACTCCAGGCAAGCTGGAAGCCAACACTTTAATCCTCTCTGATACGACGTCTGAAAGGGGCTGGGCTCCCCTTCCCCTCGCTGCTGTGCTGCACAGGGCAGGGGCTTGGGGCTTTCCTCTGCACCACAGCTTCTGAGTCACAAATTAGCTCCAGCTTCGCTTGAGAACTATTTTTAAGGTCACAAACACAGGATGCAGAAATCAGCGTGTTTCATGGTTTTCCTGAGTGCTGCCTCACCACTCCTCTTCCTCCTTCTGTTTCCAGCAGACTTCCTTCCCGAAGGGACATCCTGCATGCCCAGGGCTGGGGAGCTGTAATGGAAATTCTGGAAAATTGCTTTTTCTGCTCCTTTTAGGCCTGGGATAAAGAGCTGAGCTCACACTGTGAAGACAGCTGAACTCTTGAGCTCTGATGTGGCTGGAAATCTTTTATCTCTGTCCTGATTTGTTTCTGCAATTGCACTCAGGGGTTAATCTGACTAACCCTCCTCTTAGCTGTGGCCCCTGGGTTTGAATTCATTTGCATCAGTTGTGAAATTTTGCAGCAATACCACACGTGGTGGTGTGCAGGATGACAGCAGTGTGTACTCCTCCCTCCTTGCAGCACGTGGGGATCAGTGGTGCAGCTCGGCCAGCGCTGGCTCTGGCTGTGCCCAGCTCGTGCCCGAGGAGCCTTATCATCAGTGGCAGAGTCCAATGTTTTGTGTGCAGAAGGTTTCAGACCTGGACTCAGCTCATATTTCTGTGAGTTACTGAGTACCCAGAACGTATCACAGAAAAATAGAGACAATACAGTAAATGCCCATAGGGTGTTTTAGAATGCAGATTATTGAAAGGGATTGGTTTTGGAAGAAAACTTAATGTTTGTGCTTTCCCCACTTGAGGGTAGGGCAGCTTGATTTAAGATGGAGCGAGATTTAACCCATTCCACGTGGAGAAAGCCTCCCATCCCAACCTTCCAGTGTGATTCCCCAGCTGTGGTGAGTGCCTGGTGCCTGCAGAAGGATGTGGCTTGGCCGTATCCTGTTTACTGTAGTGTGAGGGAGTTAAGCTGTCCCCTCGGTGCTGTGGGGTACAGGCAGCAGCAGCAGAGCATGTCACCCAGGAGAGGGAAACACCATATGTCTGTCTGCTGGAAGAGCTGATGTCATGTGAAGAAAGGTGTTTCAGAGGAAGGATGTGTGCAGCCAAATAAAGCTTGGCCTGGGTTAGAATAGTTATATCCTGTTTACTGTGGAAAACACTTCGCGCTGATACGAGCTCTGAAACTTGTGATTTATAGGTGCTGCAGATAAGGGACTTCCCGTGATTTTGGCCACCTGTGAGAAGAAAGGGCTGTGTCCTGTCAGGCAGCGATGCTGGTCCGAGCTCCCACACAGCTGCTGTGGAGAGGAGGTGCTGAGCATCCCTCAGGGGTCCCAGGTGGCCAGAGGTGCATTTGTGCCTCAGTTTCCCAGCAGGAAGGAGCCATGTGAGCTTCAGGTGGTAAATATTGGTGAAGAGCAGCTAGAGATAATCATCCCCAAGACAAATAAATAAACCTAAGTGCATTTTTAAAGATCTAGCTGTGAAGGGAAGGAACCATTAAATCAGAAACGTGAATGGTTTGCTGTGTCCTCTGTACGGTATAAAGAAGTTGTGTGGCCCCGTTACAGGGGCAAACTGACACACTTAAGAATTTGGGTTGTGAATTTGCTTTTTAATAGAACGAAATGTGGTCAAACTGCAAAATGCATTTAGCATTGCATCCACAAACTTGATCCTTTCGTCTTGGTCCCCGGTGAATGGAGCTGCTGGCTGGCACCCACAGCTCCTGGTGGGTGTGCCTCTGTCCTCTCCCATGCAAAGGGAGGAGAGGGCAGTGCCATGGCAGGGAGGTCACCAGCCCTGTGGGGGTCTGGCAGGAGCTTCTTTCCTTCCACCAGTGCAGGAACACTGTCCCTCACTCCTGCAGACACGGCCCCATTGTTTTGCATACGCTTTGGGTTTTACCAAGTTTCTTCCCCACTTTTGCCCAGGGATGTGTTGCTGTGGTGTGACATCAACCCAAGACGTGTGGTGGTGGCCACGGGGGGTGGATGGGCATGAGGTGGGAGGTGCACAACAGGGTCTGGGTGGAGCAGGGTGTCCTGCCTGGTCTCTTGGTTTTGCTGCAAAGCCTAAAGATTTGCTAAATCTGCTGAACTGCCTGGAGAGAACGGAGAGCTGAAGATTTAGCCTGGTTCTATTGCTGAAATAGTAACAATAATAAGGCAGTTAGCATCCAGGCCCTGGTGTAGCCCAGGGAGGAGAGACTGTGCTGGACAGGACAGGCTGGTGGTCACCTTGTGCCTGGTGGAAGCATGTGGCCCAGTTCCCTGGCAGATAGAGCCTCAAATCCTTGCATTAGTTCTGCTTCGATTCCCACTCCTGAGGGCTGCTGTGGCAGGGCTATCTGCGTTATGTGTGGGTTCAGAGAGGCATAAACGTGCTCCGTCCTCGGGGCGTGGGCTGCACCCCACAGGCATCTCCTGCTGGAGCTTTGTACCAGCACTTGCCACGGTCAGGGCCTGGATGGGTTCGCTGCAGGTGACCTGCAGATACCTGCTGCCACTGCCCACCACGGGGAGGGTGGCAGTGCAGTCCTGGCTCTCTTAGGCTAAGCCTGGAGTGACACTGTGGATGATGTGGTAATGGCCCTTGAAACGTGCTTGTCATTTGAAGGGCTCCAGCCGCCGTGGCTCAGAAAAGCTGCTGCGGGAGTGACAGCAGGTGAATTGTTGGCAGGGAGACTGTTGTGATGTTCAGGCGTTGTTGAATCCATCCAAGTTGTCTGAGCAGAAATTACATGAGAATCTCAGAGGATTTGGGGCGAGAGGGGTCATAAATCTTGGGTGCGCCTTGGCAGGGTAGGAGGAATATGAGGCATCAGTCCTGCTTGCAAATGCTGCTGCCATGCAGCAACTGCACTAATTAATTTAGCACAGGAGAGTCAAGTCTGTTGTCTCGCTTCGGGCCAAATGAGACAAATGCCTGCTCACAGACACAGCTCGCTGGTGACAAGTCCTTAGCCACTGTCCTCTGCCTTTGCCCCTTGGCACCCACAGTGAATCGACGCGGGTGCCCCGAGACTGCCCTCGTGCCCCAGCTGCCAGGGCCAGCTGGTTTTCCTGTGCCTGCCTCAGCAGTGAGGCTTTAGGAGGGCAGAGTGGGGCTGTCAGCAGTCTGTCCCCGCTGTGCCCACGCAGGGATGGCAGAGGAACCCACTGGTGTTTGTGCAGCCCCGTGATACGTGTGTCTCTCCACAGCTGCAGCCGGAGCAGCTGGACTGTGGTGCTGCACACCTCCAGCACCCGTTGGCCATCGTGAACCCTGTCACAGCCACCACCATCTTCGCGGCCTGACCGCCGTGGCCGTGGCCAGCGTCAACAACTACACCGTCGTGTTCCTGGGCACGGCCAGCGGAGGACTCCTGAAGGCAAGTGGGGCCTGGCAGCACCAGGATGGGGGACAGGGTGGGTGTCAGGGCTGCTCCTGCCAGCACCTCTGGTCTGCCCAGAGGACAACATCTGTTGTTGATTTGATCTGAGCATCTGCTTCCATTGGGCACTGAAGGAGTCATTGGGCACTGCCATAACCTGGATGGTGGCACACGCTGCCTGGTGACTGGTGGCCGTTAATTACTGCTCAGGGCTGCCATGAGAGCAGGATGAACCCAATGCTGGAAATGCTATAGTGCAGTGTTTAATTATTAACAGCTCTTCTAATAAATTCTCCCTCTGAGCTGCTGCCTTTTGAAGACTCTGCATAGACAGGGGAATCACCAAGAGATTCTTCCTCGCAGCAGAGTCTAAAGCAGGTGTGAACCCACGGTGGAGCCCGTTCCAAGTAATGTGCCAGTGGTGATGCAGGGCACTGCAATGCCCTGGCTCCGGAGCCAAGATGCAGGCCAAGCTCCCAGTAACTAGTGCTTGGAGTTTGTCAAAGAAAGTTTTGACTCCAGGCAGCCACAGGCATTTGCTGTGCTCCCAGCATCAAAAGTCCATAGAGGAGAGGGGGAAAAGCCCTGCAGCAGAGACAGCTGATACCTGTTTTGTCTCAGCCCGCGCTGAGTGGTGCATAATGTGGGATATTGGAGAGAAGAAAACCGATCCAGTGTCTTCCCTTGCGTCCAAGTGCTCCTGGCAGAAACGTGGGGGCGATCACAGAGGAGCTCCCTGCTTTGATTTCTGCCCGCAGGGGCAGAGAATTCGGGAGGGTGGGAGGGAGCTGGCAGCGGGCCGGGCACAGCGGGCTGGGGGGCACATGCCACACGCAGCGCAGCCTGTTCACACGGCATTAACAGCTCCACTCCATTATCATCTCGAGGAGAGCTGCCTTATCTGCGGCGCCTCCATTAGGGAGAGGCTCCTGGCTACCCTTCGCTGGGATAATTTGCTCAGATAGCTGTAATCTAATTCTACAACACAGCTGCATAACCAGAAGCCCTTTTACCTTCGGGGCTCCTTGCTCTTTGGCACGGGACACAAGATACTTTGCGTGAGTTATCATTCAGATTTGCTGCCTGAGAAAAGACAGCAGAGGGGCAGAAATAGCGCTCGCCCAGCTCCTGCCAGCAGCAATTAGGGCTGCCAGGGGCACGTATGGGGAGTTAATCCGATTCTGCGGCTGCAGATGGGCACTTGGTGAGGGCCAGTGCCACGTCTAGCAGTCGTGAGAGGGACAGCAGTGCTGTAGTGTGGCCAGGGCGAGGCGTGCCAGGCGCGGTGCCCTGGAGGGGTTGGCAGGTGGAAGGGCTCTGTCCTGGGCAGTCCCCATGTGTCTGGGTCTGGAAGGCTGCAGACATGGTGCTGTGGTTGAGGTTACCCACGACTTGGCCCACTCTGCTCCCACCAGTGCCAGTGCAGCACGTGTCCTCCAGCCTGCCCCAGCCTGCTGCACCAGGAGGACTGGTGGTCACTGCCCCTCCAAGCTGCTGTGGGGGCAATCCCTCAGCACCCACAGCCCTCTGGGATCCACAAAGAAGTGCCTGTGTGGTGAGGGCATAGGGTGGACATGCCCAGGGGGCAGAGGAACCCAGGGACAGAGTCTGGAAACGACCACGTGTGGAGCACATTTCAGCAGGGAGGGAGAGAGGTTGGTCTCAGAGCTGCAGTGGAGGGTGGGGGGCTCAGTTCATGGACATCTTGGGTGATCCCAGAGAAGTCACTTAGCTTCTGGCTAGCCAGCTTTTAAAATGGGCACGACGACAGTCCCCTGCTTTTTCCGCACTGTGCTTGCATATGGTTGGTAGCAGAGCAAAGCCACTGCTTTGAGCCTGTGCTGTCTTACTTGGGCGTGTCCATGCTGCTCTAGTGTAAGAATTAATTAACCAATGTTAATTAATTAATCCAGATTTTAGAGAGCAGAAGCGCATTTGGTCCGTACAATTATTGCCTTCCTTTGCTAGTAAGGAGGTGTAGGAATTTTCCTCGCTCCCTTTCTGTTTTAAGCTGAAAAGTGACTGTCACGAGAAATTGTGTAGCCCCATTGTTATTTCCTCTCAGCAATGCCACATTTAATTTACTGAGTTTTCAAGTCAAATGCCAAGACATTCAGAGATCTGAAAGGCAGGCTGATGCTGTGCAGCCTCCTCCATCACTGCCAGCGCTTCAGCTGGTGATTCATGAGGCAAGGTAGGACTCTGTGCTCTTGTGGCAGCTGCCGTGGTCTTCTGGAGTCAGCAGGGACAGAAGCTTCTTTTGGCCTGGAGTGACAACACTTATTTTTCAAATATGCAGGGAGCAGGGGATGCCATGCTGTACAGCCCTGTTGCTGATTTTTCACTGGTTTTCATTAAGCTTTGGAAACCCAAAGTTCTCTGTATGGAAATGTGCATATGTAGGTGATGAGGGCTGAAGGCTGGTGCCAGTTGCATTAGGGTAATGCAAGGAATGCTGCTGTGGCTGCTGGACACAGCCGTGCAGGGGCAGAGCCTCAGACCAGGAGCTTTCCAGGGACCAGGAGCAGTGAGGGTCCTGCATCACTGGGCAGGGCTGGGGCTTTCTGGGCCACCACTGTGCCTGCCTGGTGGCCCAGAGCTGGCTTTCCAGGAGAGCTCTGTGTGTGCAGCCTGCAGAACGTGCAGAGATTCACAGCTCTTGATGATGTGGGGAACCATTGGATACCACTTTGGTTCTTGTTTGTAACCGAGGAGAAATAATCTTCTCCCCACAGCATTTGAAAAATGGTCTCAGTGAGTGACTTCTTCTCACTACAGATTAACCTGGACAGTACCATGAAGGTTATTAGCAGGAGATCCATTTCGGTGGCTTATGGAGAGCCTGTCCACCCCATCATGCAGTTTGACCCTTCTGATCCCACCTACCTCTACCTGATGACCTCCTACCAGGTGAGATCTGCAATCCTCACAAAATGGTCCTTTGAGCACATCATGCTTTTGTTTTGGCACCAAGTTGGGTGCAGGAAGGGACAATAAAATGTGCTTTTTAACATTAATGAGCAGAGCCAAGAGGTTTAGAGCTTTGGCTGGAGTGTCAAAGGGTTTTTGGCACCAAGTTGGGTGCAGGAAGGAACAATAAAATGTGCTTTTAACATTAATGAGCAGAGCCAAGAAGTTCAGAGCTTTGGCTGGGGTGTCAAAGGGCTTTCTATGCCAGTCCATTCTCCTGTGAGGGGTGGGGCCCACAGGTCTTTATAATGACCAGGTAAAAAGGGCAGTGAAAAATATTAAAATCGATTGCACTTGTGGGAGTGCAGAAATAAACAGGTTGTTCTCATACAGAACCCCCAAAATGACAGCACATGGTCTTTAGGGAGGCTTTCAGGAGATCCTAGAGACAAAAGTCTGCCTGTCAGAAGGGTCCCTGGGGAGGTTTCTGCTCAGCCCTCGGCAGGAGGGCTCTGCAGAGACCCGGAGAGCTGCAGCAGGTACAGACAGACGGTCTCATCTCTGTCAAGTGAACAGAGGAGGAAGATGAGAGCTGAGCGCTCCAGGCGCTGGTGGTTTGTCCTGAATTACATTTTAATCTGTCAAAACAGATGCACAACCACAAATGTTATACGTTGCATTTGTATTTTCCAAGCCCTAATTCCCTGCAGATCGGTCATTACCATTTCACAGAACCCTCCCGGGATGCCTCTTTAGCTGATGGCTCCGACTGTCTCATCTCAGCCCCTGGCTGGGCTGTGCCCCTGCTCAAGCTGATCAAACACCCAGTGTGGTGCTTGCAGTGCACCCTCTGACTGCTTCTTTTCCAATAAATCAGATGAGTTCATTTTCCTTTGGTGGAATTAGCATCCTGGGAAGCTCCCCGGGAGCTTGCTGGGGTTGCTGAGCCCTACAGGACTGGGGAGCAGTGAGGTGATGTGGGGGTCTGGCCAAGATTTCCATGGCCTAGGGTGTGCTCACCTGGTGGGAGCTCAGGGCTCTTGGCACCTCACGTCAGTCCCTGCTGTACCAAACCACTCAGGTTTCCTTCCCAAATGTTTAGAGATCAGGGGAGGACAAAGCAGAAAACAGCACATGCTTTCCCTCCACCTGCTCCTGCCGAATGAGTCCCCAGAGGTACTTTGATTTCTTTACAAGTCAAGGTTTCCAGAGTGGTACTGCTTTCTGATCCTTGTGTAAATAGCCAGAGAGTGCTGGCCTCTATCTGGCAAGGATCTTTCTGCAGGTCTGGGTGAGAGCTTTTCACAGGGAGGGACAAGCTGTGAAGCCATCTCCATCTGACACCTCCAAAAGGTGCAGTGTCTCTCTCTGTAGCCTGGTCACCCCATGGCTCCTGCACAGCACCAGCTGGAAAGGAGCAGCTCAGCCCAGCACTCCAGCTGGGACAGGTTCTGTGGTTCCCCAGGCTGCTCAGGCTGGTCCCTGTGCCAGGTGGCCGTGGTGCAGCACCCACCTCGGAGTGGTGCCTGGTCGTGCCCGCGGTGCCTGCTCCAGGCTGAGGGTGCAGAGCCCGA